CAGCGATGGGGGGGAGGAGGACAGCGATGGGGGGGAGGAGGACAGCGATGGGGGGGAGGAGGACAGCGGCGGAGGAGAAGAGGACAGGCACGCCGAGGATAGCAGCAGAGGAGCTGAGGATAGTGGGAATGGTGCTGGAGGAGGAGTATGCTGAGGATAGTGGTGATGGTGAAGGGGAACACAGATCACCTCGATGGCGTGTTGAAACTGTTCGTGCTCCCTCTGGAGCTGCTCCGCCTCTTGCAGGGAGCTGGCGGTGATCAGCCCAGCGTTCAGCATGGACTCCCCATTCCGGATCCAGCCCAAGACCTGCACAGGCATACACGGGTTACACACAAAACCACACACAGATACCCGCAGGTCTGCCTAACCGCTGGGCAAGAGTTTCACAAGAAGGTTAAGTGAGTAATCTGCTGGTTTTTAACAACAGCGGCTGGTTAGCAGAGCAAAGGCAGCAAATGAGGTCACAGGTATAAAATCAAGGTAATGAGACGGTGCTGTACGACAGTGTCGAAGAGGCACATGAGCTGAAGCTCCCAGCTATGGATTGGTTCCAGATGACCATCAAGGTGCAGGTCAGGATCAGTGAGACATGGCTCACCTGTTTGACTTCAGCCTGCAGATGGCGCAGCTGCACACATTGCTCGAGGTGCCGGCGGTGTTGCTCGGCAACCACATCCAGCTCCTGCTGCTTCTCGTGGAGGAACTCCAGCAGGTCCTGCACCCGAGTGGCCATGTCCACGTCCCGGTCACACAACAGCTCCACGCCTGCAGAAGGAATTGCAGGCCATGAGTGTGCATCCCAGACATGCCCGTCCCAAACCACGGATGTTCCTTCAACCACATGCTTTTATTTAAAGGGATCTCCAAAACCCAAAACGAACTGTGAGGCAAAGGCGACCTTAAACGACCCATAGGACAGTCGAAATACACAATAAAAATATGATTTAAAAGAACTTTTCTGGAACAGAGTGATCCATTTACTTTCCACTCCAACAATGACTCTTCAAAATGACCCAATAGCTACTGTAATAAGGGAATCTAAAGAGTTCCCACTAAATGAGGGTCACACTGGCCTCTTCGGCCGTTTAGCGGAGTGGGGATCTCACGTGGACTCACCAGAGGTCTGCACCTCGTTGACGTACTGTAGCAGCTCCTGGCCTTGGTGGATGACGTCGAAGGTGAGGTTGTTCATGGTGAGGGCCTTGTCGGCGTGATGCTGCAGCCGCTGCTCGGCCAGCGTCAGGTCCTCTGTGTCGAAGTCATTCATCTGCTGCGACAACTCGTCATTCCAAGACTCCAGGTCTGAGATGATCTGAAATGGGGGGGGGGCGGTCACACATTTTCAGTATGATAATACAAAGAGTCCCAATCAATGACTTTTTCTACTTCAAGGTCCATCTGACCATAGATGTTCAGATGGACATCAAGGTCCAAGAATTATGAGAACTATGGGCGCGAACAATAAAATCAGCCAGTATGGTGTTAGACACGCAACCTCATTGAGCAACGTCCTAGAGCTCTGGAAAGCCAGAGCACAGTGGCAGGCTGAGGGTCCTGGGGTGAATTCTGCAGACAAACAAACCCTTGGCATGTCATGAACGCGTCCGGCCTCTGACCCTCGCGAACTCCAGCGTGTTAATCCACAGGGTTTGGGACATGGCGGGAGCTGCCAAAGTCCCATCATCTTAATGGGCAGTTAATTGGAGCTAAGATGCCAGGGGATTGTTACTCGCTTCCTGGGTTACTCGCTTCCTGGGTTACTCGCCTGCTTTTCTTAAGCCAAGCTGAGCAATGCTCTATTTCAGGGGTGGGCAATCTTATCCGCAAAGGGCCGGTGTGTATGCAGGTTTTTGGGATAACCTGTAGGTCAACTGTTCAAACCCAGGTGTGAGGACTCTTCAGCCAATCAGTCCTCTAATTAGTGACCTAATTTAGGAGTTGCAGCGAAAACCTGCATACACACCGGCCCTTTGCGGATAAGATTGCCCACCCCTGCTCTATTTGTACGAAATGAGCCCCGCAGAGAAAAGGCTCCGAGAAACTGCTCTGACCATCTACTGTCTGCACCTACATCCCCATGGGATGCTGAACACCTGCAACGCTGCACGGAGCCTTGAGATTAGTGTCAACACTGGTAATTACTTCAAGAAGCCGCGCCTGTAAGACGGACCGGACACGCGTCGGAAGGGAGCGGAAGGTTCCGGATCTCAGCACTCACGTCGATGGCATCCCGCTCAAAGATGCGCAGCTGCAGGAAGAGCTCGAGCTTGATCTTCCTCTCCTGAAAGAGCTCCTCCATCTGGCCCTGCGCCTCGTCCAGCTGATGGAGGACGCTCTCAATGTGGTTGATTGAGCTATTGTGGGGCGTCTTGTTACTGGAAATGGCCGAATCCCTGTAGGGGGAGAGACAGGGGACCGTGACCTCAGGGCTGCCCCTCCATGCCGTGTTCTCTAAATGGTTTTCGAAAGGTTACCATCGGTACCACAACCATCACTGCACAGATCGAGACCATGCCCCAGTAAATAAACAATTAAGAACTTGCCTCGGCTGGTGGCGGGGCGGGGTACAGTTCAGTTGTCACACTCAGTTGGTAGTGACATTTGCTACATTAGTTACATCTGAAATTGAGCCTAATGCAAGAGACCAGAAGATGGA